AGGGTCTCCAGGATTTAGGGGTGGTGCAGAAAACCCATTCAGAACAGTCTTAGGGATTTCTCTTAGTGCACGCTCCCACCCGAGGGGTTCTCTGGCTGGCCTCATGCTGCCCTTGCACAGAGCATGCCGCTTAGGGGCACAGGTGTAGGCCTCTGTCACTCACACCTTGTTTCCCAAAAGGGAGAGAAAGACAGTGAATGTGAAACCTCTGTTGGCTTGTGAAGTTGAAATCAACATGTGAAGTAGGTGAATTCCCTGGCAGTGGCCTTCTGAGATGCGCAGCTTCCAGGAGAGAAGCCATGTCCAAGGCAGGAGAAGCTCTGCATGGTCTTGCAGATCCTCACTGTGGTGAGAGTCCTTCTTGTTTCCTGCCGGTCAGGCCAGCAGGCTGACGACGGCTGGGGATCGTGTGGAGGCCTTGGTGCAGCCCAGCGTACGGCTCAAGGCCCGAGGCATCCAGGACGTGCGTGGCCCTCACTCTGCCCCTGAACTTTCACCAGGGGCAGGTCTTGGCTCCATCTGTGGTGCCTCTGGCTCTGGCAAAGCCAAGCGGCCTTCAAGGGGCTGGTATGGTGCAGCCTGGCCGGGCAGTAGACTCGCCCTGATGCTCATGAGAACGCACGTCCAGGCCTCAGGTCCCTTAGAACACAGAGTGCAGGAGCAGCTATCTTAGATGGAGGCACTGTACTGATTTCCCACGGAAGACTTTGTGCTCACCTGTGGCCTGTGGGTGGCCTGGTCCACTGCAATCAGAGTGCCAGCGGTGCCATCCTGTGCCAGTGCTTTGGTGCCAGGGAGCTCTCGGGGCCTGGGATTTGCCCTATTCAGCTGGACCTGGGGAGTCTGTCTGAGCCAGCGCACCCATGGGTCACTTCTGCTTAGCAGCAGTGCCCTCATCCACAGAAGCATGGGACAGGCTGTGGGACACAGGACACCAGGCAGTTGGCAGAAGGCAGAGGTCCCGGTAGCCTGAGCTGGGGTGCCTGCCCCATTCTGCTAGAGGCAGTGTCCATGTCAGCCCCCACACCTGCTTGCAGGGTTACAGGGAAGCAAAGCCCCCTGGGCAGAGGGGCCATCACCCTGGCGAGGGCTGAGCCAGAGGAACGAGGTGTCCAGAGCCACACTTGAGTCACAGCTTTCCTTCCCGTACATGAGGCTGGGGCATCCCACATGCAGCGGGAGATTTGAAGCAGGTCTGGGACACATGGACCTCTGAGAGGAGTGCCTGGATGCCCTCCCTGCTCACAGTGAGGCCACAGCATCTTCTGTCAGCCCGGCACACTTCCCAAGCCAAGAGCAGGAGGGTGGAAGGACAACTGTGGGTCGCTTGGCTCCCTTTGGGTTGGCCCTGCTGTGGGCTGCCTGGGGCTCAAAGCGGGCTTTGTGTCTTTGACACTCACTCTGGAAGGAAGACCCCTGGGGCCCTGGTGTCTGCAGTGCAGGAGGAGGGGATGGGAGGAGCACCATTATCCTCTGCTCCAGCAGGAAGAGTTCAGATTTTTAAGTGTCTCATATCTGCTTAGCATTTGAATGACATTTTAATTATTTTGTTTTTTTCTCCTTTTCCTGGTTTGAATCTCCAAAGAGTCCTGCTCCTAGGTTCTGAAGGGATGGGGGGGCTCCCCAGGCTCATGGTGTCAAAGGTAGTGGCTGTGCTTCCCTGCTGGTGGACACGTTCACCAGAAGCCAGTGGAGCCACCCCCGTGGGTGCAGGTAGGGCCTCCTACAGCAGGCTGGCCCAAGTCCTGGTCAGCCAGACACACCTGACAAGGCAGAGGTGCCCCGTGAACGTGACCCTGGGCATGCCAGGCAGGAGTTTCTTCTGGACACCATCCGCATCCCTGGTGCTTTGTGGTCCAAGCACACCAGTTTCCAAAGACTCCGCTTGACCAGGCAACTCCTCCTATGTGCATGGCAGTGCCCCAGGACACGGCAGGCAGACTTCCACACTGCACGTGGCTCCCCTGCAGTGTCGAGAGCCGGCCAGGGTCTCTAAGACCTTGGAGACTCTCGGTGCTGACCCAGGAGGTGGCTCCTCCAGCTTCACAGCTGAGAGGTCCTACAGGTGCCAGGGGGTCTGTCCTGCCCAGCTCCCTGCGATCGCTTGTCTCTGTCCCCTAGGTGTTGGGGATACCCACACACTCCTCCAGGGGCCAGACCACAGCTCCACGTGGCCACAGCCCTTCCTGGCACTCCCACTCAGCCGTCCTCTGCACTCCACGTTCCATGCAACCCGCCTGCGCATGGCCCTGCTCCTGGCCAGTCTCCCTGCCTGGATGACAGCAGAAGCTGTGGTCTTTGCCAACCAGAGTAGCTAGGGAACCACTGACTGTGCACTACCCCTGCTGTCCCCATGTTCTTCCCATGTGAGAATTGGTTGTGTTGACTGGGACCCACCCCCCAAATGCTGACTCATGTAGCTGGGATAATGTTCTGCAGGGGTCATTACAGTGTGCCATTGGCTGGTTTGGTAAGCAAGCTTGTCAGCTGAAGGCCTTAGATGGTGGTCCCAGCCCCTTCCCCGAGGTCTGACTGCCCTTCCTTATGGTTAGCTAGCCCCCTGTGCCTTCAGTGACAATCTGGTTGTCTCTCTCGTCTCCCTGCCTGCACACCAGGTCTGGGTTCCCTGGGCACCTCCTGCCTTCCCATCTTGGCCTTTCCCTATCCTCTCTGCTACAGACACACTAGCCCTTACCAAACCTCCTGCCCACTGCCTGGTCAGCTGTACTGCACTCGGTCTTTCCTTGCATGGCAGCCCCCAGCTCTCAGGGCTGCCCCTCTCCTCAGGCCATCCCTTCAATCCATCCACTTGCAGGCTCGCCTCCTGTGTGAACTGAATGTTAGTATGTCCCCAAATTCATGTGTCCAGTTCTGACCCCTTGTGTGTGGTAATGTTAATACCTTCCAACACCTCTGCAAGGGGAGCCCTCATGAAGGGGATTAGTGTCCTAACAAAAGGATCACCACAGAGACCCTTCATCTTCTTTCCTCCACATGGGGCATAACAAGAGGTTATTGACCATCTGCAAGTGAGCCCTTATCAGAACAAACCATGCTAGTTGACTTTCAGCCTCCAGATTCTGAGAAATAAATCTCTGTTGATAAGCCACCCTCACTTTGTCATAGCAGGCAGAGGCACCTGCTCCAGGCCTTTCTTCTCTGCACCTTTGATGTGCCTGCCCATTCCACCTCTGCTGGGATATGATCATCTTTGTGCCCAGCTAGACCTCACAAGAACTCTGAATGAATGATGGATGGATTGTGGATGGATGATGGTTGGATGGAATGATGATGGATGAGTTAATGGATGATGGGAAGATGGATGTGTAATAGATGACAGATAGATGAGTGAGTGAGTAATGGATGGGCAAATACGTGGAATGATGGATGAGTAGATGGACAGTGGGTGGGGGGGTGATGGGTAGATAGACAGATGAATGACCTATAGATGAAAGAATGAGTGTATGGATCAGGAATGAATGATGGGTAAATGGATACTGGATGAGTGGGTGATGGCAGAAGGGTAGATGGTTGAAGGATAGGTGGATGAGTAGGTGTTGGATGATGGGATTGACAGATGAGGGATAGATGATACTTGGATTATGAGTGGATGTTTCAATAGGTGAACGGATGGTGGATAGATGATAGATTCACCGACAATAGGTAGATAGATGATGGATGGGTGGATAAGTGGGTATTGAATGTTGATGGATGATGGATGCATGGTTTATATAGATGGTGGCTGGATATGAATGCATGCACAAAGGGTGGGTAGATGATGGATAGGTGGTTGAGTGGATGTTGGATGGGTGGTGGATAGATTATTGGTGGATGAATGATCGATGAACAATGGATATATGGATGATGGGTGAGTGGGTGCTGAATGGGTGAATGGAAGGTGGATAGACAATGGATAGGTGAGTGATGTATTATGAAGCATGGACATTTGGTGTATGGATGATGGACAAGTTGATGAGAAGATGCTGGCTATGTGGATGGATGTGCAAGGGATGGATGCATGAATGATGGTTGATGTATTGATGGATGCATGAATGAAGGGTGGATGGATGAGTGATGAGTGGTGGATAAATGATGGATGGAAAATGGGTAGGTAGATGGTAGATGATGGGTGGGTGGATGGTGGGAAAATGATGGACAAATGGTGAGTGGATGAGTGGATATTGGATTGCTGGTGGCTAGATAATGGATCATGGATGCATGGGTGATAGTAGATAGATTATGGATAAGTGGGTGAGTAGGTGTTAGATGGGTGATTAGATGGTGGGTGAATGATGTCTGATGGATAAATAATGGATGTGTGGATGATGGATGGATGGATGAGGAATGGGTAGATGGTATTTGATAGATGATGGATGGTAGTTACATGATCATGGATGATAGATGCATACATAATGGGTGGATGAATAGATGGATGATGGATCAATGGTGGGTTCCTCGTTTACAGATGAATGAAGGGATGATTATGAGTACTGGATGTTGGAATGGTAGATGAGGGATGGGTGAATGAGTTAGTGTTAGATGATGGAGAGATGATGGAGGAGTAATGGATGAGGAGTGGATGATTGATGGATTGATGGGTGCATGGATGATGAGTGGATGGATGTGTGGATGAATGGATGGTGGATAGATGATGGATGTGTGGATGAATGGATGATCGATGGATGATGGATGTGTGCATGAATGGATGGTGTATAGATGATGGATGTATGGATGGTGGATGTGGGGATAATGGATGATGGGTGAGTGGGTGTTGCTTGGGTGGTGTTATGGTTTGGATATTAGGTGTCTCCCAAAAGCTCATGTATGAGACGATGCAAGAAGGTTTAGAGGGGAAATGACTGGCTTATGAGAGCCTTAACCCAATCAGTGAATTAATCCCCTTACAGGTAGTAACTGAGTGGTGACTACAGACTGGTAGGGTATGGCTGGAGGAGGTGTGTCCTTGGGGACTGACGCTGCTTGCTGTCTTGCCTCTGCAGGGCCTGATCAAGATTCGTGGTGACCAGTGCTGGCGAGACCTCACTTGCCTGGACTTCCACTACGAGGTGAGCAGCTGGGCCTGTCCTCGAGGGGTGCCAGTCCCCATTCACTGAGGACATCCCTGCTCCCGGATCTCTAGGGTGGATCACGAGGCAGTGTGCAGAGTGTCATGTGCCTGCCAGCTGGTAGACAGGTGTTTGACCTACCCCTGGCTGCAGGTCCAGCTGTCTGGCTTTCCTCACCCTCTGGGGTGGCAGCTCCCCCGGCTGTGCCCTTCCCTGGGTGCACCTCTATCACCCAAGCAGGTGACTGCTGCTCTGTTTGGGTCCCTGGAGGCTGTACCAGGCCTCGGCCCAGGGCTCCGACTCACCCAGCCGTCCCATCCTGCCAGGTCTGGTGCTCGTGTGTGGGTGGGCACGGGGCTAATCAGGGTGCCACAGGAGACCGCGGTGTATCCTGTCCTGCAGGCTGTCCTCCATGCCTCTGCCCTACTGCCACAGCTCTGAGGCTCACTGCTGGAGCTTTCTGTCAAGCTCGAGCCTGGCCTCCTGAGTACAGGGTGCTGCTGCTCCGGTATGCTGTGCGTCAATCCCGGGGTCCTAGTGTCTGCTGGCTGGGCACATGGACATCAGCATTTGTGCTGGGTTTGATCAGCATGCCTTGAGTTTATTTTTTAAGGCTTCGAGCCCGGTCAGGTCCTCCAGAAGACCTGACCTGCCTTATCAAGGGTCCCGCGAGCACCTCTATGCCAGGGTGGGATGCCAGAGAAGAAATATCTCGGCCTCGCCCATGATGGGGAGCAGGCTGCCTGCTGAATGGCCTCAGTTGGCACCCCTGCCCTGAGGACAAGGCCCAGAGACCTCAACCTGAGCAGTGAAGCCCAGGCTGGCCTGTCCCTCAGGGTCCAGAACCAGCATGGCAGCCTCTCAGCGAGGCTTTCCTACACTCAAGCATGGGCCAGTGGCAGCAGGTGCTGTGGACATGGGGCGTCTGCAGGTCAGGGTTGGCAAACCTGGGAACTGTCGGGATGCCACTGCAGTAGAAGCAGGTACACCAGCCAGGCCCTGCCAGAGAGCCCAGGGCGTGCTCCTGCACCCAGGACATGCACTCCAAAGAACACCTGCATTCTGCAGCCAGGGCTCTTGTCCACTTACCTGGTTGTGCACTCCACTGTACATGTGGGACTCATCTCTGAAACAGCGAGGATCCCCGCCCCTCCCCAGGACCCAATTGGCCAGGATGCATGCGTGGGGGCAGGCTCTCTGTGGGACAGGGTCACGTCCATGGAAGCCCTGTGGTCACTGCTGCACTTAGTGCAGGAGGGTTGGGAGAGAAGACTGAAAATCTGTCAGGGCTGCTTTGAACCTGCCAGAGGCCTGGGGTGAAGGGAGCCCCTTCCCCGCGCGGGTCAGCCATGCTGCTCTGGGGTCCTGCCATGCCAGCCACCAGCTCTCCTGGCCCAGGCTAGGCCCTGTGATGCTGGCTGGCCCAGGGGCTCCAGAAGGACAGCCATGGGTCAGTCCCCTGGGTGAGGACTACTGGGGGCCAGTGCTTGTGCCCTCTGTGTGGCTGTTGGCCTGGGGTGCAGGCTGGGTTCTGACCTGTGCTGTCTGCAGAGGGCGTGTCATGGGCCCAGCCCCTGGCTAGGGACTAGACTTGGCACAGAAGCATGCCCTGAGGGCTGGCAGAGGGTGCTTGTCCTGACTAAGACTGGGGAAGGGGTCAGCTTTGCAGCTCAGCTGGCCCTGGATGTCAAGCAGGCCTAACTGGCCAGGGTCAGGACCAAGAGGCTGGGCGGGCTCTGAGCACGGACTGCGTCTTGGAGCTCCTTTCCCTCTGGTGGGACCTTGGCTTCCACCTCTTGTCAGTCCAGGTCTCCGCACCCATGGCCCACCCTTTCACAGTGTCTAGTTGTAGAGGGGACAGAGCCTCCGTCTCACCTGCGCCCACCACTTCTGGGGCTCATCCTTTGCAGGGTGCGGCCCCACGTGCTCTGCCCTCCCACGCGGACTTGCTGCCTGTACTAGCTGGGTGCAGGCTGGTGCTGAGCTCAGGGTGTGCTTCTGGGTGTCCCGGTCAGCACTCTGTAACATGCAGTCCTGCTGGCTGTAGCCTCCTGGACCACAGGGTGTTGTGCGTGGGGAGCACCTTGGGTCTGTGGCTACAGCCTGTGGCGTCTGCTCTCCCCAGGAATTGGCCACGCGTGAACGGGGCTGCCAAGGCTGTTGCACGGGACGTGGGTGCTTTTTCCTTTCTAAGCATTTTGGGGAGTGTTTGGTTCTGTTCTCTGACTGTGCCACAGCATCTTCAGACCCTCCAGTCCCCTCCTGTTGGGCCTCTTTGCCGAGGACCCTGTCGCATCCGTGTTTCATGGTGGAGGTTCCCTCTTGTGTTTCCCATGGTGCTCTCTCCACGGCTGTCCTGGGGACTACATCTGCCACGTGCAGTGGGCCCTCTGCGTGACCTGACACCTGCATGGCCTCAGACGTGCAGCACTACACACTTGCCATTGGTGTTGGGTGTCACACGATTGCAACTTCACGTGTGGCGAGTTCAGACTTGTGACCATAGTCCCTGAAGCTCGTCTGTCTCTTGACATGGAAAACGGACTGTAGAGTCGTGAGGAGAGCTGCAGGGAGGCTGCGCTTAGACTGGTGACTGCTCCAAGTGGCTCTGTGTACAGCATGGAGACGCAGGTGCACACCCCTCCTCCACCCTGCAGAAACCTGGGGCTGGTGAGCGGCTTTTACACCTGCCAGCACGTTGGCTGCTTGCAGTCTGTCTTCCCATAGGGTCAGGTCGTGGGGTGCGGGCCAAGGTCCTGCGTCCACGTCTCACTGCCAGTGTCTGCTGCACCGTGCACTGCAATCTTGAGGGCAGGGGCTGCAGCCTATGATCCTGGGGACTCCGGGGTTTGCTGGACCTGGCCAGGAGGCTCGGCTCCATGCTGTGTCAAGTGGGACTGCTCTTTGGGAGGTGGTGGCTCAGTGGGGCCCCATGCCCTGTCTGCCCCGCCTCATGCTGACTGGCCTCCTCCAGACCTCCTGGTGGGCCTTGTGCTGGGAAGTCCCAGAGTGCCCCTCGCCCTGCGGTTTTCCATAGAGGTGAGTCCTGCAGGCAGCCGGAGCTCTAGTGGAGGGGACAGACGCTTGCTCCCCTTAGTGGGTCCCTCGAGCTGGTGGGGCTTGGTGGCTGCCGTGTAGGAAGCAGCACCGAGAGCAGCTCGCATCAAGGCGCCTGCGCTTCCCTGGCGTTTCTGCATCCAGGCCCCATCTGCATGGCTCCGTTCTCCTTCCCTGCGTCTCTACTGCCTTGGGAGGCGCGCAGTGGCCGGGCAGCTCCCGCTCAGGCGAGCACTGTGGAGGCACCCCCAGAGCGGCCTCCCTGGCTGTCCACCCCTCCAGGGCCGGGTTCTGATCCCAGTAGTATCACCATGTTGGGCCTCAAGTGGTGCCCCTGATCTGCTCCTGGAACACAGCCACCCCTGCAGTTTGTCCCAAGGTCTCATTTTTTGGTCAGCATGAGCCACCTCCACATGCCCACAACACGTCGGCACCACGGTGCCAGGGAAGAGGTCAGTCACCCCAAAGCAGGCGAGAGCTTGGGCTTCGGGCATAGCCCTGCCTTCAACACGCAGACGCCGACTTCCTGCAAAGGCCTCATACCAGGCCCTGGGCTGGCATGGGGACCGGCTTCCCGGGATTGGTGGTGGTGCCCGGCAAGCAGTACTCACCACGTCAGTGTGTGCGCCTGAGATGAGGCATGGCGTTGCCATCACACTAAATCCCCAAGCGCACTCCGTGGTGGCTGAAGTAGGAAAATGGGGACCAACCATCTGTTCTTTCCCTGCGGGGATGGGCCCTCCAGCTCCCTGGGCTCATGGTTTTCTCCTTAAGATTGTCTCCTTGAGGGCAGATCTGCAACGCAGGACCTGAAGCCTGGGCTGTGCTGTGCACGTCTTGCACCTGGGGATGGCGCCGCGCCTCACCCGGTCGCAAGTGGGCGGCTCTGGCTCCCGGCGCCGGCTCCCACCGCCTGCCTGGGTGCCACTTCAAGGCTGCCGGCTCCTCCACAGCTCACAACCAAGCTTCAGTGCAGACAGTGAGGCTTCTGCCCCACGAGGGGTCAGCAGTTGGGGCATTGAGCAGGCCCTCTGTCCGGAGGACCAGAGGCCATGCTCCGTGGAGCCAGCCAGGCTGGGAGGGGTGCATCCTGGAAAACAGACCTCCTTGCCAGGACCGTCGTGGCCAACACTGGCGACATCTCCCTCCCAGACGCAGCCAGGCCAGGGCCACTGGCCGTGGTCAACCTGTACCTGGTGTTTTATTCCATCTCCATTCCCCTCTGAACCTGCAGGGGCCTGGCCTTCCCCAGTCCAGAGCCCCTGCCCCGGCCCCCTGTAGAGTAGCTGTTCTGCCCCACTCACTTGTCCTCCCTACCCCATCTCGCTGGGATTTCCAGTGATCTGTGGAATCCAGAGTCTGTGTCACTGTCCCCATGCTCAGGCAGGTGCATCCCATTCCACCCTCATGTCACTCCTTAAAGGTTCTGTCCACTTGGGACACAACCCCTCAAATCCCCTTCTCCCGTGTGGTGGGGTCAGACGCCATAATCCCTGGTCTCTACCACAGCTGCAGAGTGAGCACGTGGGTCCAGGTGGAGCCCTGGTTGGGACGCCCAGTGCTGGTGCAGGAACCCACAGCCAAGGGTTCTGTCCCCAGTGTAGGGCCGTGGGTCACACTGCACAGACCAGGTTGCTTATTTCTGTGGGAAGCATCTTGGAGATGGGCGCCCACCCTCTGGGTGCACCTGCAGAGGGCTGGAGGGCACCCATCTCTCCCCATGGCATGGTTAGGGGAAGAGTCCGCTCTTCTCCCATCTAGCCAGCTGTGGACTTCAACTCAGGTTGGGCAAGTAGCAGGTGCTGCCCACTGGGAGGGCAAACACAGAGCCCAGGAAGTGGGGACAGCCATGGAGGCACTGTGACCCAAACTGGCAGGGGTTCCTCACACTGAGGCTGGGGTGGCAGGAGCCAGGCCTGATGGGTGTCACTGTTTTAATGTTCTGTGGCCAAGGCCACACCCAGGGGAATGGCACCCAAGAAGACATGGGCATGCTCTTCCGGTCAGTTTTGTTCCTTCTCTGTGTGGATGGCACCCATTGTCTCCTGCTTGCTCAGAGTCACCTGATGTGTGTCGAGGGGCCCCACGCTCTGCACTCCAGCTGCTCCTTGTGCAGCCCCCCAGAGGCCACCTGCCATCTGCCTGTGGCAGGCAGTGAGCCTCCCCAGGCCCCCTTGTGTCCTTCATTTGGGCATACTGGTTCAAAGGAGCTCTTGCAACTAAGAAGTGCATTTTTTGTATTTAGATAGTGACAGTTTTAAAGCAGAGAAGGAATGTGCTCTGCCTCTCAGGCTGGCCAGGTCAGCTCTGTGTGCAGGGCTGGGGGTGTGCCATCCTAGAGCCCCACCACCTGGATCCACTCGCAGCTCAGTGACTCACAGGCCTCCTTGTCCCTGCAGACCCAGCCAGTGCCCAGCCCCCTGGCCTACTTCCTGCACAGGACGCCCTGGTGGGTGCACCGCTTTGAGGCCCTCAGCAACCACTTCCTAGAGCTCCTGGTACCCTTCTTCCTGTTCCTCGGGCGACGGATGTGCATCCTCCATGGCGTGCTTCAGATCCTGTTCCAGGTGAGTGGCCTCCTGTCCCCTGCACTGGTGCCCTACACAGCTCCTCCCAAGGGGGGACCTGGGGGGTAGAGAGGGACAGGCACACTGGACATGGCATTCCCCATGTTGTCAGGTTTAGCCCTAAAGTTTTTCCTTAAGTTCTAGAAGTTTCCTTTCACATGCACTGTCTGCACCAGGACTGGGATTCCTGGAGCTGGTCCCCTGACATCAGGTGGGTGCCCAGCCCACCCTCTGCCCTCCCAGGCTCCCCGGCAAGGTGCATGACCCCTTCAACCTCCTGGCACCCACACCACCTCTGGACAGGTCTCCTGCAGACGTGTCCACAGAGATTCCACAGAGAGCTGCGCGGCCGTGGGCACAGTGGGTCTCCCTCTGTGCGTTGGTGTGCGTGGGGGTCCAGGCCCCTCCCACCTCTGCCCGCAGGCTGCGGTGGGCCTTGGTGCCTCGTCTCCCATGAGACGAGCTCTGGAGGATGCTGTGGTGTGAGGGGCAGTGTGTTTGGCTCTCAGGGAACTGCCCCTGGCCAGAGCAGCATCCCCTCCCACCACTGGCCAGCAGGAGCCCAGGTGGCACATGCTTCGTGGGTCCTTGTGTCACCATGCTGGGGCAAGAGCAGCTCCTTGTAGTGGGTTGAGTTCCTTGAGGGCCAGCAGTGTCCAGGGAACCAACTGGGGAGGGCTGTCCCAGCCAATAGTACACATCTGCCTGCAGAGCCTGGGGTGACCTTGTGGTCAGTGCGTCCTTGGGCTTAGTATAAGCTCACCTTAGATTTCAGGTGGCTTCCACCCAGGTTCTTCCTCCATCACTCGGGCTTGGGACTTACTGTCGGCCCCTGGCAGCCACGGCTGCCCCAGGACCCTGCCCTGGGCCTGGCCTGCTTCCCTCCTGGTGTGCGGGGCCACATGTCGTCTGTGGGTTGTGAGGCTGCCTGCATCGCGGGCCGTGCTCTGCTCAGCCTGGAGTCTGGTTTGGCTGACGACGAGGGGCCGGCTTGTCCCCGAGTCTGCCCAGGTGCTGAGGTGCAGCCCGAGTCACGCATGCTTGAGCATGTTCCTGGGTCTGTGGACTTGGTGTGGCTTGCATCCCAGCCTGGCCACGTGTGTCTGCTGTCCACTCAACTGTCCGTGGTCCCCCCCCAGCCTGGTGGGCAGTGCCACAGGGTGCTTTACACACACTGGACATGCAGAGATGTTCCCTCCTTGAGGCAGCTTCAGGGTTGGTATTATCCTGGGAATAAGGCTGTTTTCAAACTTACTGCCCCCAAAGAAGGCGATAACGCTCTCAGCTCCCGAGTCTGGACCTACGGCCTCTTTTCCCCTCATCCCCTATTCTCTGGGGAGCAGGTCATGTTTAACCAGAGCTGGCCAGAGGCCCTGCACAGTGCCTGGCTCGAACACTCACCCTGTCCCTGGAGTCGCCTGCTCTCAGTGTCCCTCAGCCGCTTCACATTGCTCTTAAGACCTCTCTTGGAGCAGTTTTGGGTTCATGGAAAGCCGCAGAGACTGCAGAGGCTCCCTATGCACCCCCCAGCCCCCACATTAGCTCAGACTCAGCGCCCACTCAGGGCCGCCCTTGCTGTGCTCTGTGGGCTTAGACAAACACAAGGTGACGTGCCTCTCAGAGGGCACAGTGCCCTGAGACCTGCATTCTGTCCGTTGTCTTCCACCACTCCAACCTGCATCTTTTCCTGTCCCCATATTTGCCTTTTCCAAAAGTTCGTGGGGCTGGGTCACATAAGGTGCCGCCCTGCCAGGCTGCCAATCTGGTGGGCCCTAAGGTCCCTGAGTGGGGAGAGGCCCCTCCACAAGGGCTCTGGTGGTACTTTAGAAGTCCTGGTCCAAGCGCTCGCCTCCTTTCCAGGCCTGCAGGTCCAGGTGCATCCCTGGCAGATGCAGACAGGAAACTGCTGGGCCAGTCCTGGGTGCCTCTGTGGCCTCTGCTCCCTCCCATGGCTCACCGTGCACCTCTAAAGCAGCCAGAGTGCACTGCGGCCCGGGCAGTGTGCAAGTGGCCTTCCCATGTCTCTAGGGCCACAGTGAGGTCACAAGGCAGGCTCCTCCCAGGAAGCAAGTGGGCATAGGCAGGCTGGACACCAGCCTTCTGGGATTCCCCCAAGCGAGGGATGGGACCCCTGGCCTGAGGGATCTGCTGTACAGTCGGAGCAGGAGAAGTTGAAACTGGGCAAGTTCCGCCACCCGCCCTCAAGGAGGCAGAGACTCAGAGGAAGCCAGGGCTCTCAAGTGCCATCCTAGCTGGAGGAAATGGCCTCCTGTAGCCGCGGACAAGCAGAGGAGGCTGCTTCCTCCCAGCTACCATCCCAGACCAGGCCAACCCCAGAAGGCATGAGGTGGAGTGGGTGCTTCCCAGGGCATCCCTCCCACGACACCCCAAAGGGCTCAGCTTGAAGTCAGGCCCACCACCAGCCCTGGACCCTCCCCATGTAGGAGGGGGCTCGGGACTCTGAACAGCCCTCCTGTCACAACCACAGTCCCTGCGTCCCTGGCCCTACCTGTCCACGGGAGGGCACCCAGCACCCAGCAGCTCTGGGACCCTGGTCAGCCCCGGAAGCTGGTAGAGAAACTGCAGATTGGGCAAGTGTGGGGCTGGGCTGCTTGGGCCCAGGGGTTTGGTGACATCATAAACAGAGAATAAGAATTATTTTTGAACTTGGAACCAGGAAAATTAGTTCTCCCAACGGATCCAGGGAGAGCCTTGAATCCACAGTTCCTAAGCTGCAGTCATAGCCACAAAGCCAACGAAACCCTGCTCCCCTGCACGAAGCCCTCGTCACACCCGCATATATGGCCTCAGAGCTCCCACTCCTCACTAGGACTAGGCCGAGACCAAAGTCCAGGAGCGTGGGGCAGGGCCATGGGGAGCTGCCCTGGTCCACTCCCACCAACACAGCACAACTATCGGCCGTTGGGGTGGCACCAGAGCTATCCTGAAGAGGACATGCCTTGGCCCCAGCAGCCTGGATGCCACACCCATGGGCTGGTGGTCACTAGCACTGTCCTCATGAGCTTGTCGTCCTCCTGCTGGACCTACCAGCATGGCATTGGCAGCTCTCCACATTTTCCTCTGGTCAGTCCTGGTCACCTCCTATTACTCTAGCAGGGCCTCAGCCCTACACCACTTCCTCCCAGCAGCCTTGTCCTGAGCAGGGTACCAGCTATTCTCCCCATCTCGGGCTTGGTCAGTGCTGAGCTGTGTCCATCCACAGCTGGACTTCCATGGGGAGGGCTTTGGAAGTGCAGAACGTGAAGGAACCTGCAAGCAGAGCAGGGACAGGCCCCGGGAGCTGGGTGATGGAGACCTCAGCCATGGGCTGGGCAGACTGCTGGCGGGACCCAGGAAGCCCTGAGCACACCTCAGCAGCCACTGCCCCAGGCTCCAGGCTGGATGCTGGCAACATTGCACCTCAGGGTTGGCACATGGCCCTTGGGCCTGATCCAGGCCAGCTCTTCTGGCATCAGCAGAAGCTGCCTCTGCTGTATCCACTGCAGGATGAGAACCCGGGGCTTGCCCCCTCTGCTGGGGCAGATGCCATCCCAGAGGGTGGCCCTTGGCTACACTCCTCTGGGCCAAGGAAGCTGCCTTCTTTTGAAGCCCAAGAAAGGCCAGAGGCTCCAGGGAGCTCTGAGGGGATGGCCGTCCTGAGCAGGGGTCAGGTGATCAGCACTGCCAGCACGAGGGCTGGGCTGGCTTTCCACGTTTCCCACCCAGCTGCCACCACCCTCGCTGGGCTTGCTGCCCCCTGTGTGGGCTCCACATCCACCTTTAGGCAGTTCTGCACCATAGGGTGGCCTAGTACAGGGCACGGTGGCACACTCCTATACAGGGCTAAGCAGGAGGGTCACAGGTTCTAGGCCAGCCTGGGCAACTTAGCAAGACCGTGTCTCAAAAAGGTTGGGGACCTAGCTCAGTGGCAGCATGCCCCTAGGCTCAACACCAAAGGACAAGAAGGGCCTGGAGCTGACAGCCGGGGTGCACTCTAACTCTGTTCCTTGGGGCGTCCTTCTTGCTGAGCAAGGAAGATGTGGGCAGCTGCAGGGGATGGGCACAGAGGGCAGCGACGAGTCCTGGAGGCCCTGCCTGACGCTGGCCCAGCCCTTCCCCACAGGTGGTCCTCATCCTCAGTGGGAACCTGAGCTTCCTGAACTGGCTGACTATCGTGCCCAGCCTCAGCTGCTTTGACGACGCCTCTCTGGGATTCCTGTTTCCCTCAGGGCCAGCTGGCCTGAAGGACAGAGCCCTGAAACTGCAGGACGAAGAAGCCCAAGGGGCCCAGTCCCGGCCAAGACACATAGGTAGGACGCAACAAGGACAGCTGCATGCTGGACAGCCACAGGGCTCCCACACCTCAGAAGGGCAGGGGAGGGCAGTTGGGAAGACCCCTACTGTATCCCAGGAGCTGGGACAGCCAGACCCCTACAAGGGATTGTGGATAGGAGGCCAGCTGAGGTGTCCCCGGTTCTCCTTGAGCCTGGAGGGCAGCAACCAGGTCTCAGGGGCACAAGCCAAGGGGACACTGCTGCTCCTTGCTAGGCTTGGGAGCCGGCTGACAAGACCTGCCTTCCCTCTGCAGGCTGTGCTGTGCGCCGCGTGGTCAACCTCTCGCTGGGCGTCCTCCTGGCCTGGCTCAGTGTTCCTGTGGTCCTCAACCTGCTGAGCGCCAAGCAGGTCATGAACACCACCTTCGGCTCACTCAGGATCGTCAACAGCTATGGGGCCTTTGGCAGGTACCACTGGCCCCTCCACTCTGGGCCCAGGCTGGTGGGAGTTGGAGTCCCCAGCACCTCAGGTGGATGGAGAGCCCATACCCCACATGGCACAGAAGTGCTGCAGACCCACGGGCCCTGCCTCTGCCTTCCCACAGCATCACCAAGGAGCGGACAGAGGTGATCCTGCAGGGCACAGCGAGTCCCAACGCCAGTGCCCCTGATGCTGTGTGGGAGGACTATGAATTCAAGTGCAAGCCTGGTGATCCCTGGAGGCGGCCATGCCTGATCACCCCCTACCACTACCGCCTGGACTGGCTCATGTGGTTTGCGGCCTTCCAGGTGAGGGAGTGCTGCCCCACCTCTCCCTCCCTCCCAGGCATGCCCTGGGTGCTTGCAACAGACCACTGTTCTGGCTTTGCTGTGGAGTACCAGTGTTGACAGTGACATAGGCCCAGGGCCCTTGGCCCTCCTCCTGCTGAGCCTTCCCAGTGCCATCCTAGCTGGAGGAAATGGCCTCAGCAGGGTAAGGCTAGGGGGCAGGTGGCTGGGAGGGGGCAGAAGTATACACAGACAAGTGACCCTCAGGCCAGCAGGCAGCCCACATGCAATAGACCCTTAGTGACAGTGCTAAGAATGGCTGGAGAGGTGGAGGCACAGCCTGCACCCCAGACTCACGAGCACCATCCCTGCAGACCTACGAGCACAATGAGTGGATCCTGCAGCTGGCCGGCAAGCTGCTGGTCAACGACGCCCAGGCCCTGTCCTTGCTCGCCTCCAACCCCTTTGAGGGCAGGCCACCGCCCAGGTAAGCCCCTCCTGGCCTTGCCTGGGCTTGACCTCACGGGCCTCAGGCCATCTGGGAAGAAAAAACCTGCCCGCAGGGCCTCTGGCCCACACCAGCCCTCTGCCCAAAGGGACCTGTCTGGCTCCCGCTCCAGCAGAGGTCTGCACAGTGACACGGTGGCAGCCCAGGAGCTATCCTCTTAGGGTAAGGGATTCACTGGAGCCATGGACAGCCGCCAAGCCCAGCTTCCCAGAGACCCCGCAGCCTCCCACACTGGGGTCTGAGTGGGAGCTGTGATGTGTGTGGAGCCAGGGAGCAGCCAGGGACGAGGGACAGCGCAGTCCCAGCTGGCCGTCCATTCTGACAGAAGATGCTCCTGTTTCCCCTCAAGAAGCCTCAGGGCAGCTGCACCGTGGAGCTGCCCACAGCTGGCCAGGCAGCAGGAGGGTCTACAGAGGCGGCAGCAGCTGCGCCGTCTGGCAGCCCAAGCAGGGGGCCCCTGGCCAACTGAGGCTTCTGGAAGCCCTCCCCGCACTGCCCAGCAGACCTGGACCAGCACAAGCCCCCAAGGCCATCGGTCCCCCGGTTTGCCTGTGGCCAGGCCTCTCTGGTCCAGGAGCTGTGTCCCTCCAGACTTGAGGCAGGTTTCTCTTGACCCTCTGGCCAGGCTCCCACCTGGGCTTATGCCATCCCAGCAAGGCTGTGCAAGGCCACTGAGCTGTCGCAGCCCGTGTGCCGAAGGCCTGAAAACCAGAGGCGGTGGTGGTCTCCAGTGGAGGCTGGGCACCTGGAGGTGCCAGACCCAGCCTGTCCCTGCTGTGCGTTGGCAGCGGGCTCACTTCCAGGGGAACATTGAACATGGCTACAGAGCATGCGCCCCACTGCCTGATCCTCCTGACGAGGGAGTGGACACTTCCCTGTTCCCAAGGACAGCTGAAAGCTCTGGATGCTGCAGACACAAACGGTGGCCCTGAAGCAGGGAGGGTGGCAGGCCCCCAGCCACAGCCCTGAGGCAGAGTCTCCTGGGTTTTCTTTCTGCCTCAATAAAGATGCGCAGCTCAGAGCTGCCTGCCAGCCAACAGCCAGAAGGTGCAAGGAAAGCTGCCTCCGTCCCCAGGGCAAGGAGCAGCCATCAGGCAAGACAATCACAGAATGACACCACTGCAGAGCAGTTGCCCTGCCCCAGGACCATGTGGGCCTGGCTGCATTCTGAACATGGAGCCCCTGCCCACGAGCTGTCAGAGGCTGCCCAGCAATGGGGGACACACCCCAGTGGGCAGTGAGACCATGTGGGCCCCTCCCAGAATGTAGGAGGTGACTCCTAGTAGAGCCAGGGGCCTGGTGCCGGGCACATGACCACTGCCTCCCAGTGTGACCTGAGGCTTGGCCCCTCCAGCAGATCCAGAGCAGGAGGTAAGGGAGATCAGGGACCTCGTGGCATCCACAGGAGAGCCAGCAAGATGTCAACTGGAGATGTGCCCTTCTGCAGACAAGAGGTCTGGGCAGCTGCCGTGCAGGTCCTTCAACCACTCACAACACACATAGTCCAGCGGTCTCTGGGGAGGAGAGTCAGCACCACTGTGCAGACTCCACTGCGGGTCTCAATGCCTCCCGCTGCAGAGACATGCCTGCCATGCCTGGAGAGCACGTCGCTGCCACATGGCGGAGTCCAGTGTGGGGAAGGGTGTCAAGGAGCTGTAGTTGCAGTCCAGAGCACCAACAGCCTGAAGGACAGTGCAGACCAGGAGGACCGTCGCCTGCACAGAGCACGCACACCAGAGCCGAGGGACCACAGCCACAGCAGGGGTGACCTCAGTGGACGGCACACCAAGGAGGGGAGTCACCACAGCCACCAGCGCTGCCAGTAGCCGGCTGGGTCAGGGCACGGCACCCACAGGGCTCGCCAGGCATGGGGCTCACCAGGTCTTGGCCCCATGCTGGCTCGTGCCTTTCCACATGGCCCCTGCGAAGCTCCTACGGCTCCAGGGCCAAATGCCAAGAGGAGGACAGAGAGCACACAGCTGCCAGCCTGCCCCACCTTCCTAGAGCCACACCCCTTCTCAGGGACACTGAGATCATCATCGCTGTGCAGGCCAAAGCACAGAGGAGCCCCCTTCCCCGGGACATAGCGTGTCCGCCATCCTGTGGCCCAGGGCACACAAGGGCCCTGAGCCACTAGAGGCTCAGGGTGGGGCCTCCCTCTGTGCAGGCTCTGTGCATGGGCGGCCTAGGCGGGCAGGCATAGGGGCCACTGGGGGACTGACCTGCTGTTCCTGTCCCCACAGGTGGATCCGAGCAGAGCACTGGCGGTACAAGTTCAGCCTTCCTGGGGGCAAGCACGCCGCAGAGGGCAAGTGGTGGGTGCGCAGGAGGCTCGGCCCCTACTTCCCCGCAGTCCGCCTCGAGGACCTGGAGGGCTACTTCAGGGAGCAGGACTAGCCTCTCTAGGCAAAGCCACAATAAAGGCCCACGGACAGGCACTGCTGTGTGATTCCCTGGTGCCCATTGCCCCTTTCCAGGAGGGTGACCCCTGGTCTCCCACAGGGCAGCCTGGCACCAGGCCTCCAAGTACTGCACCTGCCCATCCTCTTGCCCTCACAGGGGACAGCTGCCCAAGCTCAGGAGCAGCCCCGCCCAGGGAACCGTGCCCACACAGGAGGGGACTAGGCCTGCAGCCCACCTAGATGGGCCCACCTCTATTATCTCAAACTCATCAGTCTACACCTGTACCCACATCCTCCCCACGTGGTCAGCCTTTGAGGTGTGGACAGAGCCACCGTCCTCCACATGTGGCCGTGTCCCCAGCCTCGTATTAGTGACCTGCAGAGGCCACAGGGATGGCGGCACCATGCCTGGGGGTGTGCTGGGATGCCATGCTCCCTCCTGGCTGAGTGGGGTGGGTTGCAAGGCACCTGGAGGAGCCTGTCCCACCCCACCCTCTACCCACAGTGCCACGGCCAGCCATTCTGCAAAGCCTTCCAGGGACAAGGTGGCTCCACAACAGGCCAGCCAAGCTGGGCACAGTCGGAGGAGCCCCCTGTGTGGAGCCCCTCAGCCTGCCTAGTCAGCCTAGGGAGGAACAGAGGGTCAGTGCTCTGGCTCCTGGGGAAATAGGCGCCTTGTGTCTATGGGGACAGATGGGCCTTGGAGCAGGGAGCCTGGAGCCAGCCAGTCTGCCCTCAGCAACCTCAGGGCTGACTGGCTGCCCCAACCCCAGGACCCTTCCTGGGGCCCTGTGAGGGGTCTCCACAGGACAGCAGTGACTAGAACTGTCAGGGACTCTCCTCTGGAGAGGCAAGCCCTGGGGGGAAGCCTGCGGCCACCGCCCCACAGTCCTAGCTGGAAGGCAGGGTCCGAGACAACCAGCAAGAGCCACGGCAGGCCTGGGGGAGGCACCCTCCAGCCTGACAGCCCCCCCCCAAGGGAAGGCCAGGGAGGGCCAGGCAGGAGCAGCTCACCATCCCAGACAGCCGCCTGCTCTTGATCGTCTGTCAGCTGTCTGTGTGTCTGCCAGCCACGTGGAACCATAGGACGAAGACACCAGCCAGGCCTCCTGGGGTGCAGCAGGGCTCAGGGTCAGCTGGCAGTGTCCCCCTGGGCTCTGACTCCAGGTGCCCAGCCCTGTTCAGGGAGACCCCCACCCCAGGGTGTGGTCACTCTAGACATCTGCTCACCTGGGGACACTCCAGGGGCCTGAGGTCCTGATGGTGACCGCAGTCGCCTCTCCCTCACCAGCCCTACTCCCTGAGGAGCCGGCACATTTGTGTCTGCCCTCAGCTCCCCATGGCACTGTCCACGCAGGGCAGAGTGCCTGGCTGTACTCAGTCTGCAGTGGTCAGTGTGGGTTTGGGGGCACTGACAACAGGAGCTAGTGTGGGGTGGGTGGTGCTTGTGAGTGGGAGCCGGAGACCTGGGACTGTCACCCACTGAACTGAGGAAGCAGCTAGAGGAGCTGGGTGCCCGGGAACTAGCCCAGCCAGGATGAGCAGTAAAGACTGGGCGTCCCAAGAGGCACACAGATGGGAGAGTGGCCTGAGGCTCCACCAGGCCTGTCCAGGGTCCAGTGGCTTCGTCTACGGCAATGGAGCCCCAATTCTCAGGCTCTTGTGACTGCAAATAACGAGGAATAAAGCTAGAGCCCTCACAGTCTGATTTCAAACTCTGCAACAAAGCTGCAGTAGCCAAAACTGGCGCTGGCACAGGTCAGCAGCCTAGAAAAACTCTCACAGACAGCTGTTGACAAGGGTGCTGAGATCCCAGTTTGAAGAATGTGTGGGCCCTTCACACCATGTGCAGAAGTTAAACGGGAGAAATCCCAAAGGAGAACCAACTGCAGACACATGGTAAAGCCCAGGGACACCCTAGGACATGGGACAGGTCACCAAACTCACCAGGACTGCATCTCAGAGTGGTGTCCAGAGCACGCAGACACCACCACAGGAGACAAAAGCCCAGCAAGGACCAGGAGGAGGACATGCACGGAGCCTCCTGCGAAGCAGATGCAAATCCCAGTGTGTACCTGGAGAGCACTGGCCATCCTTGGCCACAAGGGGAGCGCAGATGGAGCCCTGAGGACAGAGGGTGGACCTGCTGCCTCTACGGTCCCCTGGGACAAAGCTGGGCCCTGCTGTCACACTTCCAGCCATGGGCCCGGGAAGACTGAGGACAACATTCCCATCATCATTCATGACAGCCAGAGGCCTATCAATCTACTGATGGGCAGACTTCAGCCACAGGAGGACCCTGGAAACGAGGTTCTGGAAGGGGCCAGGTGCAGAAGTGCCCATGTGACTGCCTGTGGCCACGTCCTAGGAGCAGTTCAGCAGCAGGTTGGGTGGCCCGAAGAGGCAGGGGCCACAGGAGAACGGAATGCAGTGTCAAGTTCAAGATGGCCAACTTTGCAGTTATGTCTGTTTTACATCCGGATTCTAGAACACAGTCCCTGAGTGTTCTGAGAGCCTGGACCTGGCCAGGGACTGGAGACACTGTACAGCACATCAACTGCAGTGGCCAATGCAGGGCCGCTGGCCCCCTTCTGGGTCTGGGGAGGACACAGGAGCCAATGGGGCTGGAGACTTACCTTCGCCGTCTGCCACCCAGTGGCTGGGCTGTCCGCATGTATCAGGCGTTGGCCAGAAGTTGGGTGGGGGGAGTCGCTGGGCCTTGCAGGGGTGGGGTGCCACGTCCAGCTCAGGTAAGGCAGCAGGGGCCACCTGGTAGCCTACAAACATGTACCTCAGTGATGCCCGCCCCACGAGCACCTGCTGCTGCCCGCTCAGCCCTCACCCTGCCAGTCATCTCCAGGCCTGGGCAAGGCAGGCTGCTTCCTCCCTGCAGGCACGCAGCCGGCCCCGCCTAGGCTGGCACCAGGTCTGGACCAGGCAGCTCGCTACTCTAGGGCTCTGCCCCAACCCTGGTGCAGACGGTGGCCAGACCACGCCAGATGAGGTCAGCCCTGGAACCTAGTGGTCTCAGCCCACAACCTGCCTTGACTTGCTGGGCACGGCTGGGCCCTCACTTGCCAAGGGTTTCCTGGTGTCAGTGTGCAACTGAGGGACAGCAGAGCCCTTCTCCCAGCACCTGCCATGCCTCATCTTCTCCCTGACCTGGAGGCCATCCCTGCAGGCCTCAAGTAGCTGCACAGCCTTATCTGCAACCACGCAGCAGAGCTGGACACGGCCCAAGTGGAGAAGGGGAACACTGTGGGCAACTTGCCTCCCATATGAGCCCACGTCCTAGGTCAGGGGAAGACCCAGGGAAGATGTGGCTGTCATGGCGACCCTGGACACAAAATCTCAGAAGTCCCAGGAGGAGGAAGATGGGAGACTCTTCCAGGGGAGCTCTGGACAGCTCAGAGTGTTGGGCACCACCCACCTGCAGGAGCTAGGTAGTGACTCCCACAGCCGCACAGGCACTGCCCAGGGCCTCCCCAGGAGCGAGCACAGCCTGGGGGCATCTGCCAGGGAGAGCAGGAGCCAGGGGTTCTCCCACACGTGGCTGGCGGCACACCATGGCAGCATCTGATGTCAACACTGGCTCAGCACAGTCCTTCCATTAGAAGGGGTCCCCAGGAAGGATGGGGCTGGGGAACACACCAGCAGGGGTGTACGTTTGTCAGAAGCCACTGTGGTATAAAATAGGTGGGTTTCGTTTATGTCACTTACACCTAGCTCTGGACAGGCCCAAGGTGCCATGGTCCTGATCCCTTCTGTGCAGGCTCCGGCCTCCTGGGTACCTGTGCGCACAGCCACTCCTGGATAAAGTCACTGGAAAGGAGAGACACTGCCACACCCCAGGAGGACCAACAAAGCTGCCAGCCCAGTCTGAGGCCTGGTGTGCAGGCAGCAAGTTAAGGCCACAACTGCTCACAGGATCAGGCACAGAGACAGCTCCCCTGCACTCTTCCAGGACAGCTGTACCAGCCTTACGCTGCCACAGAGTACCCCACAGAAAACTTGGCCTCCCTCCAGTAGGGCTGCAAGCCAGGGCCATGCCTGGGGGCCACCGGACTCTGGCCATGCTGATGTCTGCTGTGGACATCGTCTGGGCTCAGACTTTGCATGTGTTCCCATCACAGTAACCCATGTCACTCAGAGCCTGCTGTGTTGGGCATGGGGAGCCTTGCACTGGACATGTGGGAAGGGAGAGGGGCCCTGGGCGAACGTACCCTCCACACTGCCCTGCCACCCAGCCTGTGCCATGCCCTGGTAACTCCGCTGTCCTTGGCTGCATTTTCCTAAAGTCAGCTCTGAGCTCAAGTGGCACAGGCAAGGCCCAAGGCAGCCTTGTGCCTTGAGCGCAGCCTCACCTGCCAGGCCAGCCAGGGAGGCTGCCACCAAGTGGACGGGCCAAGTGGGACCACACTATACCCCCCAGGTGGCAGGCAACACCCACTTGTCCTCAGGGAAGGTCAGGCCCCTCGCCTGGCTCCAGCAGGCTGCACCTGGGCCCCAGCACTGGTGCCAGCCCTTCAGCTGTGCCCTCCATGGTAGGCACATTAGCATCTCAATGGCCTGGATTGATAGCCAGGGAGCAGCTGCCTGGGCACAGGAGAAGGGGGCAGCCTTGCTCCTTGGGGTGGGCTGGGCTCCGTCAAGTGGCTTCCTCTCCCCACATGGCCCCACTCACAACTGGATGGAAGAACACCAAGCTCTACCAGCAGTAGCCAGGGCCTCTGTGTCCCTCAATGTCCGCCCTGGGGCAGCCACGCAGCTGTAGGGCTGGGCAGCCAGGCTCCGTTCCTGCCTTTGCTGTGAGCAGAGGTGGGGCCAGGCCCAGGCCCATCAGTACCTGCCCAGCCCAGGAGGCACAGGCTCTCCACCAGCCCCTGGGGAAGCCCCTGGTCCCCACAGCTTGGCCCTTCCTGCAACTGTCTGCCCCATCACTGGAGCATCAGCTCCACCTGAGGATCGGCCGTATCCCCAGATGATGCCACTGCAGTGGGCTGGGTAGTGTCCCCAAATTCAGATCCAC